CAATAGTCTTCGTTAGACTTAACATCGACGAAAATTCAACGCGAAACGACACGAAACGGAGAAAAATTTCAACATAAAATAAGAAATTAATTATCTTCTCAATAAACTTTATTCTAAAATCACTTTAAAATACTTAAAATTGTCATCAAACTTTTTTTTTGGCAAATTTTCAATCGAAATTTCTTAAACAAAATTTATATCAGCTGATTAATGATATTCAAGATGAACTTCATAATCTTCTTCCCAAGCAAATGTTACTCTGCATTTATTGCAATAGTAAGACGAATTAACTAATGGTTCGTGCATTGTTTTGTGTTCTTCTAAAGCCTTATGACTACAGAACACTTGATAACATATAATGCAATTAAATGGGTATAGATCGTGCATTGCACGATGAGCATCCAGGTTTGCTTTCGTTTGAAATTGACTATGACACACAAGACAAATCAATGGTCTGTATTCAGAATGAGTGGAAAGATGCTGAATGAAATGATTTTGTTGTTCGTAACGACGATCGCTGGAATAATCGCTGGAAATTACATTTGAATAACCCGTTGTATTGTTACTCGTTTCCATTCCAGAAAGGAAATTTTGATGAAGTGTTTCACACTGGTGTAGTTTCTGCCTCAAATGTCTTCTGCAATGACAATCTAATACCCATTCTTCAGGAAAACATATATTACATATTTTGCATTTGTAGATTGTTCTTCCAGTGTAGAGATTTTGATGATAAGTTAAAGAGCATTTGAACCTGAAACGTTTATTGCATATTCTGCACTCGTAGGGTTTTTCTCCTGTGTGAATTTTAATATGACGATTGAAATTGCTCTTCGAAGCAAAACATTTATCACATGTTTGGCATTTGTAGGGTTTTTCTCCTTTGTGGATTCTGAGATGAGAATTCAAATTGCTCTTCGAAGCAAAACATTTATCACATGTTTCACATTTGTAGGGTTTCTCTCCTGTGTGGGTTTTGATATGATATGATAAACCCTGTTTTCTAGTAAACGATTTATCACAAATTTCACATTTGTAGGTCATTGTACTATCTCTGTCTACCAATACCTACAAAGGAAACAGTGCATTTTAGTGCTATTCATTTATATTGCGATTTTTCCTTAAATTACAGTTAATAACTACACATACTGATAGTAATTTACATGTTTCAACGTACAATTTATCATGTTGACAATTCCCTACATTAAGAGTTATTTTTCAAAATAAACAGATAATAATTCCCATATTCAATACTGTAATTTTATATTGTAAAATGTGGATTTTTGTGTATAAAAGTGAATTTGAAAGTAGATGCAACTTACGTTATGGTATAGTGACAGACTGCTGCCATTTTGATTTTTTTTCTGAAATTTGTGGAACACGTATCTTCATTTTAAATGTAAATCGTTTCACATTTTTGCTCACAGAGCCATGTAATGTGTAGCGAACAATTTTGATAACTAAATTTTTTGTGAAGTCCTTTTTCGCATCCTTTGAATAGCATGTACACAAATTTTGACTTATTTGTTGGAGCTACAACGTACACAGAATACCACATTTTTAATGATGATTGAAGGATGTGATTGTACCTTTCCCCGGATTCATATACTTTCAAAGGTGACACATTCAGATGAGCCTAACGACCAAAATTTCTCTATTGAACGTAGAACTTAACATTACCAAAGATGCAAGAAAAAGGGAGGACCCCCCCGAATAAAAGAAAAATCGATGACAACAAAGACAGTTTGCAGTCTCGAGTTAGTTGGTCAGTTAAGGTTCGCTATCTCGTTAGTCACCAATTTCGACCCTCTTGGATAGTTCTGCAGTTCCACTATTTGGGACATCGGACAAATTATTCCCGGATTTACATCTACTTAGCTGCAAAAGCTATCCCCCATCTAGAGACACATTACAAACGCTTTGCAAATCTATAAAATCTTTGGAACATCTCCAACGCCATCCATTACCCCTCTTGAAGTCCCTAGGATAAAGTTCAACTCTGAAAATTCTAAGGTATTTATCAACTTCGCATCTGATTGTAAACTGTCTCTCGGTTAGGGATCCGATACGAATTAACTGAGAACTATACGGATATGCTATTTAAATTAATTTATTACGTCTAGCTATCCTATCGTGTTTTGTCTTGTGTTATTATAAGCCTATATTTTTGGATGTATTTCCTCCAACTCCCCCAGAATAATTTCCAAGATGCAGAGCCAAGATGATCGGAAAGAAAATAAGCATAATCGTTTTCCAAGTGCTCCGGAAGCTAAATGTTCAAAGATAGAGCATTACTTTAAGGGGCAATCTACTTCGAACATTGATAAAGAAGGAATGTTATCCTTACGACAGTGTTTAGAATCACAGTTAGTGCTGCAGTTGAAGTGTATCGAAGATAACTTGGCTAATTTGGAATTGACTAAACAATTAACTTTGTCCTTAGTAAAAAAACTGAACAACGCCCTTTCTAAATTGTTTTTGCGTTTAATAAGTTAAAACAACACAATTAATTTCATTTGGATGATGTTGGCGACACTCCTTCGCATACAATATACAGGTCAATGCTTCCAAAAGGAGCTATTTAATGTCGTTTAATGAACCAGGAATGTATAGTAAACTTATTGTGTAAGGAATTGGACGCAATTAATTTATGAGGGCAAAATATTGTTGGTATTTCCCAGGGGTAATTCCTGACTAAAATTTTTTGGCATGCTAAAACTTATAAGAATAATAGGCCCATCTCCAGCACTAAAAAATAGGCAGAAACGTCATATGATGTGAATGAAAAAGTATGGACTATTATAAAGCCCCTATACCTGCACATGAAATATATTAGAATGAAAAAGTATTAAAAATTTATGATAATAATTCAATTTTTGTAGGGCCTTGACACTTGGAATCCCAAGACGTAAATCCTATTAGTCCTTATATAGATCCGCCGCTGTTTATACGAGACAAAGATTTTTTCTGAATACAGGTATTAACATGTTAAAAATGTAATTGCATTTGTATATGCATATTTATATTAAACTACGTAAAAGTTTAATAAATTTTAATTTATAATTTGTATATATAAATATTTTTTTAGAATTTAATTCTACTGATATTTATGGGTTTATATGCGTCAGTTTCTTTAATCTACTACTAATTTGCTGAACGAGAAATCGATCAAGTGTACAAATTAACAGTAAATTTGTTTCCAAATGAGATTTTAAATAACAAACTTCTTTTAAAGCTTTCTGATTGATGGAAAATAATAAACAAATCTAAACTACATTCGAGATTTTTTAAACTGTACAACAATGCTTTCATTATACAGCATGTAAAGTTTCAATTCTCAGACAATCCACTACTGGCCGAATGCATAAACCACTGAACAGTCACGGGTTCGTACCTGACCAACAAGCTGACCAAGTGCAATTTTCCAGGTGTTTTTACGTAACTAACACATAAATAGGAGACATTTTGCCAGTGAAAGTCCTCCCAGGAGGAATCCATGTTGCATGGCCATATTAGACCATTGTCTATTAATGTTTGATGGAATATGGCATGCAACACGTGGGCTATCTGACAAGGTTGGATTAATAGACAATTGTGTAATAAGACGACTGTTATGACAAATCTATGTAAAAGTGGATCGAGTAATCCATAAAGATGTCAGTTACATCTTTTTGTATCATTTGATACTCCAATCTGTTGACTAGTATGTTGTATACGACATTAAAAAATTTAATTAATAATTAATATTCTTGCCCCCGAAAATAAAAACTAAACAATGTTATACAATAATGTTACAGAAATAAATTTCTTACAATTCCTTTGCTCGGCCGTTATTATTTGCAATAAAACTATAATTATTCTTTCAGGAATTCTCTATATATTAAGTAACAGTAAATACTTCAGAGATAATTAAATGGAACTATAAAAGATTAGAAGTGACAGAATGTCAATTGAAATACTGTATAAAGCTCATACAACTGGATGAAACTCAAATAAACACTCTAACACCAAAATTCCAGCAGCAAACAAAAAAAAAAAGTATTTTCAATTGTCTTAAATGGTCGTCATTAGGTTTTAATTTAGAAAATTCGATGTAATTAGGATCCCATTCGAATTTTCTAATTTATAAAACCTGATGATGACACTTTAAGATAATTTAAAAACGTTTGTTTGTTTATTTAAAAAAATATTCTTCTAGATTTCTGATGTGTAGTGTACAGTCGACCCCCCCTATAACACGGGTTCCTATAATTCGGATTCTTATATGACGGCGCCAAAATTTCGACAGTATTCGTAAAAACACGCTAAAAAACTCGTATAATTCGGTAAAAACATCATCGCCGACTCGTGTCGCGACAGGATTGGTCGAATCTAGACCAATAGCGGATATTGTACAAACCGTTGAGTTTAAACGAATAGCGGACCTACTAAAACCATTTATTATTTAACGGCCATAAAAATTATATTTATATTAATGATGTCTTCAAAGTTCAGCGAATTTTTCGCAAAAAAAAATAATTTATCAGGAAGCACGCGAGAGCCATTCGATGACAATCTCCACGACGAAAACAAGCTTAAGCAATGGCATCGTCGAACGGTGCACACTCGGTAAGTAATCTTACGATTTTTTGTTTATAGCATAGTTTATATGGATTATTCCCAAAAAATTATATGTATTTTGGAAATGTTGAGTCGAATTAGTCTAGAATCGATTAATTTTATGGAAGGAAACCTTTCAAACAGCCGTTGTCCGTAAACTGCATACGTGCCGGGCTGTGATTGGCTCATGTATTCAAGGACTCTTAGAACATCAATTTCATAAAGAACTGAACGTATCTACCGTGTTATAGGGGAGGAGGTCGACTGTATTTTACTTTGTTAATGGAAATATTATTCATTTGTATCCAATGAATAAAAACATGCCAATATTATTAATTTAAAAAATTCAGTTATAAAACGTAAGACTAGTGAAACCTTACATCTTTTTTCTTTCCCAATATCCTGAGGAGGAATTAAGAAAAATTTAATCCGAAATGCATTGCAGTTTATAAAAGAAAATAATAAAACAGTTGTGCTTTTTAAAAAACTTTAACTTTGATATAATGTGACACTACCTTCAATATCATCCAATTTACTGTTAGAAAACTATAATTTTGGAATCAAAATCTAAAAATTGGTATTCTAATTGGCGCAGGTAAACATATCACGCTTGGAAAAACACAACTCAACAGAACTGACTATACTTTTGTCTTGTGTTATAAATTATTAGGTAAAATTTTGATATATATGGCCTAGCCCAAGTACACCTAAGGAAAATTAATCCATTATAATTGGGTAGCGAGTAGGACTAATCAGCACTGTCATCATTTGCAGTCAAGTGATCAGCAAGAATAGAGCCAAAGAGTGGGATTTAACACTTAAAATCAGCAAAAAGCTTCAGGAAAAAGAATCTATGCAATATGTATTGAAAACATAAACTACCGATAACGATATTCATTTGCATTGCAGCTACAAACTGTTTGGAAAAATGAATCCGATCTTACAGAACAAATTAAATTTGATCGTATTTTAGATAGTTCCACAGACAGCAAAATCAACACTTTAAAACACTTTATTTGAAAATCAATATTGACTTTGAAATAGTCACAGCGTTGTTATACATCTGGTTATAAATGAAATTGACGGAGAAATTTGCATAATCAGAACTCGCATGGCTTGTGTTTCAGAATCAATTGGAAGAATTAAGCTTAAGAATCAAGATGGGTATACCTCTGGATAATCTGTGGCTCTCTATTGGCACAGTCCATAAATATTTACTTAATTAAATAACGAACGTTAATATACTAATAATGTGTTTATATGTAAATAATCTAAATATGCCAGCAGCTAGCATTTTCACATGATAATAGTCTTTTATAAAGACAATTAATTCGTTTCATTTCTATCAATATATAGACAGTAACTACTATTTAATTTATAAACAACCAAATAGCATGTGTATTTATTGCTCATTTTTATATATCTTTTGCATTAGATGTGTTATTGACACAG